CCACAGGGCACCAGCTGCTCTACTGAAAGGTACAAGAGGCAGAAAAGCAAGCAAAGATCAAGCCTACGTACCTGTCCCTGTTTCCAGGGAGACTGTGCCCTCCTTCACAATTGTTCTAATGGAACGGCTTCCGTTGACATCTGCTCTTGTTTCAGATGGCTAATATTTTTAAGTTTATGGTCTTAATTCCAAATAATTATGTGCTGTCAAGTCAATTCTGACTTATGGTGCCCCCTTCTATGGTTCTCAGGACAGAGACTACTCATAAGTGGTTTACTATTTCTTTCTTCTGGGGAACACTCTCAAATTCTGCAGCTTGCCCAAGGCTACACAGGCTGGCTGTTCTTCAGGGATGCACAGTGGGGAGTCAAACTCCCATCTCTGGTTCCACAGCCAGATACTGTAACCATCTCCATGAGCGATTTAGCCAACTATGGCCTTACTTTAAGTTTGTGTTCTATAAGAACATATGAGGAGTCCTGCTGCATCAGTCTAGATATCTGTCTAATCTGGTTGATTGTTCACATAATGGCCAACCAGATACTTACAGGATGTCCACAGAAAAAACACAACTGCTTGAATACCATGGCAAATTATGAACAGAAGCATATTGCCTCTGGTAAGGAGTACATATTACCCCTCATGACTAGACACCATTGAGAGTCCAGTCCTCAATGAATTTGTCCATTCTCATTTTAAAACCACCCAATTCAGCAACTATAATTAAATCTTAGACAAATGAATTCCATAATTTGACTTAGCTCTGTTTCACAAATGTACTTCCTTCTGTCTATCCGGAAACTTCATGCATTCAACTTTATTGGGTGATCTAGGTTTGTGATATTATGAAAAAAGATATATCTGTGAAGCCATGATCTCCACACCATAACAGGCACAAATAAAAGAGTATTTTTAGCTAAGTATAATTTTTTTGAATGAAACTACAGCCAATTTATCTACTAAAATTCCTGAAAACTTGAAAAAATGATTTCTGAAACAAATGTAATATATGTCCTTCATATTTTTTACTATACCCGTTTTCTCTTGGGTTAAATTCTCCAAGAGGCAAGTAAGAATTTGAAAAGTTACTGTGGATTTTAAATTTAATGATTAAAAATATGGCAGAACATTTTTACCTATTTTATCTACATCTCTGTAAAAAATGTGATATGTTCCCACATGTCAATGTTGAGCATACTAATCTTCTATACCTTGAGGGCTCTGACTTTGAAAATAAGTATCATATGAAAGGTTGTTCTTTTGAATTATATACCACTGCAAAGTGGCAGTGCATTCTCTGGGCAGTTTAGAATGTAATTATGCAAACAACACTTTGCCTTTCAGTGAACTAGGTACTCATTTCACTGACTTCAGAAGGATGGAAGATTGAGTCAGCTTTGAGCCAAGTACCTGAATCCATCAGAACCAAACTCAGGTTGTGAGCAGAGGCTTCACTGCAATACTGCAATTTAACCACTGCACCGCGGGGTGATATAATTATTCAACAATTGTACATATCGAAGCGACTGATCTTATCAACAACTTTGTTTTGCCAATTTTGGAATGAAGTGGTGATGAAGACTCCAAATTCCTCAGTTAGGGCCTCCATTCTCCAATCGCCTGTAATACTGTGGCCTACAGCCAAGCCACAAAGAGTTACTGCTACACACACCTCAAATATGGTACGTATTAAAGAGCCTAACCAGGAGCAGTAGTTCACCATCAGATATCCTGTGTGTAATGTGGTGTCAATCCTAATAGGGTCTCCAAGGTAAGTGAGATACTTAAGGAATGTTTTACCAGTCTCACACACATAGTGTGCATTTCCATGGATGAACAGAGATTCAAATCCTGAATCCAAGTCTGTCACTATTTTACCATACTGGTATCATCGAACAGGAGAAGAAAAATGGAGAAGATATGAGATCTCCTAGAACTGAGGAGAAGGTGTAATCCATTTAACTTCCTTCCCCCATACAACTAGTAAGAGATACAGAAGCGTGAGCTATTTCGTTGTTTGTTTTTTGGTATGGCACCCATAACTGATATGTGGCACTGTGTGAAGTCTGTTTTTTCAAGAATTTTACCTATCAACATCAGATTTAGATAGACACATGGAAAGTTGTTTTATACCAAGTCAGAATATAGTGTGACTTACTACACTAAAGGAAGTCAAAGTTAAAGTAGGCCCATTTGAATCAATGGAATTTACAAAGAAGTTGATTCACCAAATCCCCATTGATTCAGTGGGCCTACTCCAGTTAAACTTAGTGCAATTTGTTCTGTATGGGATTTAATAGTATGTAAGCATCAATTCTCATAATAGACAAAACATCTGTTTGCTTCAGCTCTCTGTTTATAATAGCGACCAAACATCTGCTGCTGGAACTTCAAGTTGCCTTTTAAAAAATCCTTGTTAAAGCAAATAAATATATGCATCCTATAGTGGGCATCCTTATATGTTGATGTAATGAATTTCAGATAATATCTCCCTTGACGGCACAGGAACATATATAACAAAAGCATGTGGTATCTTTAGGCATATACAGTGTGTCACATACCTTTAGGTGATGACTCTAGGTCTGAAAACTTTCAAGAAATAGGTATTGCTTAGGGAAGAATCATCTCTTTGAAACTGGGATTGCACTGCATCTAATACGTTGATATCAACATCTTTTCTTAAGATTTTTTTTCTCTTTTAAAGCCATCAGTGGGCAGCACAGCAGCAATGGAGCTACAGGCACTCCCCTCCCAGTTCCTCATGAGCCCAGAGACACAGAAGAAAGACTGAAAAAACTCAGCATGTTTAGCCTTGTGAAAAGAAGACTGAGGGGTGATATGATAGCACTTTTCAAATACTTGAAAGGTAGTCAGACAGAGGAAGAGCAGGATCTGTTCTCAATCATCCCAGAGTGGAGGACACATAACAATAGACTCAAGCTATGGGAAGCCAGTTTTAGCCTGAATATCAGGGAAAAAACTTATTAATTGTTAGAGCAGTACAGCAATGGAACTAATTATCTCAGGAGATGGTGAATTATCCAATGCTGGAGGCATTAAGAGAAAATTGGTCAACCATCTTTCAGATCTGATTTGATTTAGATTGCTGGATTGAGCAGAGTCCTTACAGACCCTTCCAATTCAGTCTATGGTTCTATGCCTCCAACTCAATTAGTCTATGATTCTTTGCTTTTACACTGGCTGAATTCCAGTAGATAATTAATGCAGATAAAATATAGCTGGGCAGTAAAAACCTGCTGACTGGCTCCCATGTGCACCCAAAGATGCCCTGCCATAGCAAAGCAAAAGCAAAGCAAAATGTGCTGCTGATATATGCCACATCATTGTGCTTAAAGCATTTTCTGGGCTTACAATTCAATTATGCAGGTTACACATTGCCCATACTGCGGGGTTAGGTACTCAGTTTACTGACCTCAGAAGGATGGAAGGCAGAGTCAACCCTGAACTGGCTGTCTGAAACCACAGGAATCAAACTCAGGTTGTGAGCAGAGTCTTGGATGCAGTACTGCAGTTTAGCCACTAAGCCACAAGGCTCAGAAAGCCCAACACATAGGTGAACAAATCATATTGTGCAAAACAGTATTAAATGTATTTATTTCCGGCTGTATCCTAATATTCATATAACCTAATAGAGAAGGTATTCCCAGCATGTGATGGAACAGACTCTATCTCAATTGTCATCTTTGGAGTCAAGACAAATATATCACTGCCAGCAGATAACAACCTGATTATATTCTATTACAATCCATGCCAACGTATTACAGTGGGGTCTTGACTTAAGAACGGCTTGAGTTAAGAACATTTTGACTTAAGAACTGCTCTCATAGGAAAATATTGACTTGACTTACATACTTAGACTTGAATTAAGAACTGAAAAAAAAACCACATGAGAGGCAGGGAAAGTGCAAAATTTGAACTTTCAGTTAACTGTTGGCCAGTGAAAAGGGTGCCTGTCTGCTTCCTTACTCCTCCCAGCGTTTAGAGAGTGGATTGGGAATCAGTCTTCAGACTGCCTGGTACTGTACTGCCTGGACTGTATTTTCCCTGCCTTCCCTGAACCTTTCTTGACCTAAGAAAAAAAGAAACAAAATATCCCCCTCTAGTGGTCGAAGGCAGAATAGCAGCTTCCCATTAGTTTCTATGGACGGAAATGAGCAGATACGGATCAAATGGTTCTCAATACATTCCTATGGGAAATGCAGATTTGACCTGAGAACTTTTTGACTTGAGAACCGCCTTCCAATAGGGATTAAGTTCTCAAGTCAAGACCCCACTGTAGCTATTGTATAACAAAGCACCATCTTATGCTGTTAATAAGCCATCTCATCTAACATGGGGCAGTGGACTGGGGGCCATCCATATCTTGTGGGCCACAACTCCCAGCATCCTTTGCTATAGGCTATGCTGACTTGGAGTCACATCTACTAATATATAGAGGACCACATTTGCCTACACATAATTTAACAAAGAGACTTTCTCGGGACACCAACTTATTAGTATCCATGTCCCAGTAAGAAGACACAGTTAGACCATGTTGCTACAGCAAAGGTGCTTGCCATAGCATGATGCATAGCAAACAGCTGTATATGTTTTCCCTTTCCTTTCATTTAGGATAATTTATGCAAGAATAATTTATGACTTTAAGAAATCACACAATGAGTCTTCATTAAGGCAGAAGCAATATATAGGATCCAACACCAGATACAATGAGACAGTTATAAGGAGTCAAGATGTAAGGCTGAAATTATTTTGATCCTTGTAAATGTGTGCGTACAGAAGATTTATCCCTAAAATTAAGTTTTACTATTGAAAAAGCAATCTCTCCATACAAATGTGCAGAAAATTATATTTCTATATTATATATATATATATATATATATGCAGGTATGCCGGACTAACACAAGTAGTCTCTTCATATTTCATTTCACTCCATGTAGCAAACCAACTTGTATCATTGCTGGGTGTGTGCATTTTATTACCTTAAAGTATTGCAGTTGTTTCTCAGCATTCATTGTTCCTTCACTTTCTTGCCTCAAACAGGAATTGAAGATAAAAAGCTCGGTATCTCTCAGCCATCCTTTCAGCTCTTTGATCCTGACCTCCAGCTGCCTTACTAGGCTGCCGCTTTCAGGCGAAAGCAGGTCACGTGGACCTAACCCACTGTGCCCCACCATTGTGTCTTGGATCTTCTCTCCCAGGGTTTTCTAATGCAACAGAGAAAGAAACCACAGATTAATCTTATGTTCTAAAACATGCACATCTCACAGTTGACCAACAGTATCGTTATCTGGACATTATCAATATTATATATGTTATTTATTTATTTAAAATATTTTTAACCTGCCTTTCTCCTAAAAAAAGGATCCCAGATGGGTTACATCATTAAAAGCATAATATTTAAAGCTAAAAATAGTAAATTATCAAATAGTAAAGAATAATTAATAATTAGAAGCATGACAAAAAAAACACACCCAGATTTAGAAACAAGAAAATATAAACCACACCTTTTATTGTCTTCTAGATAGTCACTAAGAAAAAGCCTGCCTGAAGAGAAAGGTGCTTGCAGAAGAATAGCGAAGATGGGCCAGCCTGGCTTCCTGTGGGAGGGAGTTCCAGAGTCTGGGAGCAGCGACAGAAAAGGCCCTCTCCCATACCCCCACCAAGTGCACTAGTGAAGATGGTGAGACAGAGGGAAAGACATTCTCTGGTGATCTTAATCCTTGGGCAGGCTCATAAAGGGAGACGAAGTCCTTGAGATAGCTTGGAATCAAATAGTCACACTAATTCTTATTTATGCCATTTACAGGCTAATTCTCTGCATGCTTACTCTAAACATTAAGGTCTACAGTGAGTAAGTAGGTATAACACTAGAACCATGGTAGTTTATTCTGGGTGAGTACAGACAACTATATACCAAAGTGATTGTCTAACCCACTTGGTAAGCACATTATCTGAGCCCACACATATTGCCATATTGACCCTGTTGTAAGCATTCTTAACCAATGAAACTCTCCATCTCTATGAACTTATTAGATTTGAAACACACATCTGGTTAGATGGGTATTCCATTGTGTTAGAATGCATGATAACACAATAATCTCAAACAACATTCCATTGTCCAAACAATGAATGAGAAAAGGAAGCCATTGGCTTACTCCAATTTTGTAAAACATGTGACTTGCATCCACAGACATGGAACTATGCTTGTGGACTGGAACTCCTTGCCCTCTCCTTCCCATTGCAGCTCTTTTCCTCAGAATCAAAGAGCCACTTCTGAAGACTGGGAGACTCTTTGATATAGTGTGTAATAACAGCAGTGCTAAGGGGAGCTTCATGGGAATTGGAGGTGGGTCACTTTACATATGCAAAAGTGCTCCTTAGTAAAAAGATTTCTCCCATCAACATCGCATCAAGTCTAAAACAAAGATGAAACTATGTAAAAATGAGAACTGGTTCATTGAATAATAATTTAGAGTTACTAGAATTTTAGTTTAAAGTGTAATTCTAACAATATAATTCCAAGACAATAGAAAAAGAATCCATACATTAATTAATATATAGATGGTAACTGAATTTTAAAATTAATATATAATATTATGTGACCAATCATACAACTGCAGAAAAGTGACTGAAGAAGTGTTTCCCCTGCTCCTGGAGGCTCCCCTTTGCCCACCCCATCTCATACTGCTTGCAAGATTGGTAACACATTTAATAATGTGATTGGTATTGCAACTAAACATGTGACTGTTTACACAAGAGGAGCCTGCTGTGGTGTAGAAACATTTCTGTTACTATGCTTATGCTCCAGGATAGGATATTGGACCATATCTACTTGTTTGCCTGCCCTAATGAACTTGCAGTCTATTTTTGCAGCTAAAAGAAATCCCATTCACCTTGACTTTCCACTACATTAGATAAAAGCCTGAATATGAAGGGTTAGAGATTCACTTTTGCTTTGTCTCTCCTCTCCACCTCCCTGTGCAAAGAATATCATTGGACCGTATGAACAATTACTAGGGAACTGGGAGCCATGTCTGTAAAGGGTGATGAAAAGTAAGTTCCAGAAGGTAGTTCCTTTCCAGACTGTGGTAATGAATTAATCTTTAAAGAAGGGCAAGATTAGAAGCTGCCTAATTCAAGTTATTGAGTCGACTGTGAACTAAGTGTTTTGAGAATTGACAGTCTACGGATAAGGTCTGCAATACCCACTGAATTAAATCAACAGATATTCATCTATGCTAAAGCATTGTGCAAATAATGTGTTTTGGGAGATCATTACAGGAAAAAAAATACAGTTCTTGGCAACACCCTTCTATTTTGATGGCTCAAATATTGATAATTTGAAGGTTCTCAGTGGAATCCAGCTTTAGCAATTGTTTTTATGCTGTAACAAAAGTAGCAGCAGGAGGTGAAATCAATGCCCTTGGAGGGTAGGGTCACAAAAAAGAATTTATTGCCACTTTTTTGTTCTGGAACAGTTTGCAATCATAAATTCTTCATAAACAGAATACTTCAGAGAATGGTCCGTCTTCATAAATATACGACAGAGGACATCAATTTCATTTAATTCACAATTTGTGTCAGCACAGCAGATGCCAATGGCTGCCTTGATAGGGTTGTTTAATATGCAATTGAGACTGAGTAATATTCAGCACAGGGGACAAAATTTCACAGATTAAACTGTACGCACCACTGACATTTCATTCTAATGTATTTCCATTCCACACTGTTCACCTTAGATGAAAGTAATATTAAAAACCATATCTCTCTATTTTACCATTGTTAGAAGTTAAAATCCTTGTCTTTAATTTTTTTCATGCCAATTAAAATGTAATCATGCCAATTAAAACAGAATGCCTAGTGTTGTTAGTTTTTGCAGAGTTTTTCTTATTAAATTATAGAAAACTCAATCAAAAACTGCTTATTATACATGAAATTTCGTTTCAGAGGAAGAAGCACCTTTTTCACAAATGCAGAAATTAATTTTTAAAAGTGATATATAACTGCATCTTAAATTTAGCATGCAAAAATGAAAGGTCTTAAAATCCCTTTTAAATGGCAGGGTAGTGTTGTATTCTTTATTTGTTAGATCTGATTTATTTAATGAAGAAAAGTTTATTAGCTGCTTAGCTGACTAATCATATACCCTGACAAGGGTAACCTGGAGTTAAATGTTTTGCTTTCAGTGAATTGACCAAATTATTTGTCAGACCATAGCCAGTTCAATGTGCCCAAGGGGGATCTCATGAACCAGGCTTGCCTTTCCTTGTCACAGTGTTCAGGGCTCAGTTTAGGAGTCAGATGAGTGCCAAGTTGAAGGAAGTGCTTAGCTTGGTGGCACAGTGTATTGGATTCTATTCTGCAATGAGCTAACTCAGGGGGGAAACCAGCAAACGTTTTTAAACATTTTTTAAAAAGTTCTTTAAGTTGCTTAGATGCTAAATATAATGTAGGCACTTTTCCAAACAACATATGCCTAGATCAGTGGTTCTTAACCTTTGTTACTCGGATGTTTTTGAACTGCAACTCCCAGAAACCCCAGTCAGGACAGCTGGTGGTGAAGGCTTCTGGGAGTTGCAGTCCAAAACTCCTGAGTAACCCAAGGTTAAGAACCAGTGGCCTAGATTATGGTGACAATTAAAACTTTGCAGTACTGTATAAATATTAGTTGACTGAACTATTGTTCATTAGTTGATCTCTACTTGAACAAGGTTCCAAATCATTTGCAGAAACAGATATACAAAATTCCAAGACATCCAGTTCTATTATTTCTGTCAGACTGCAAGAAGGCAATGCAAATCCTGAGCGAAGTTGACTTTACAAAGGAAAACATAATCCAAACAAGGCAGGGGTACTCTTTGTCAGTAGGCAAGATTGGACGTACTGACCATTTTGAATGAGGTTCTACTGCCTTTGAAAGATCAAGTCCATAACTATAAAGTGCTCTTAGACCTGGCCTACATCCAGGATAATCAGGTAACTGTTATGGCCAGCATTACTTCTGAAGTTGTGGCTGATGTTTCAACTGCACCTTTCTCTGCAGAAAGCAAACATATCCACTGCCATTCTTCTCATGCTCACATATGAGATAACTATACAGGTATTGTCACACACCCTACTTGATATAACTTCTGAAGAGTGTTCAAAACCTGTAGCCAATGCACAATGCTGATCAGAGATTGCTTTCAGAACACCTTAGTCATTAAGATTCTGTTGTGATTGGATCTCAGTTTGTTCTGAAACCCAGTTTAAAGGTCTGTTTATAACATTTAAAATGCAAAAGTATTGGGACTGCAGTATTCATGATTATGTCTGCTCTTTGAGGTCTTTGGAAATCTTGTCCTCTATGTCCAGGATGCGTCATAGCAATGGGAATATGGGATGTAACCAGAGTTGAAATGTTATTCAAAAGCCCTAACACATCTCTATTATTTCTCTGCATGCCATTAAATCAATTCTTACTTATGGAGACCCTTTTCAGAGTTTTCCAAGTAGAATGGTGGTTTACTACTCCCTTCTTTGGGGGTGCCCTCGGATTTTGCTGCTTGCCTAAAGCTGCACAGCCTGGCTCTGCTCACAGAAGCACAGTGAAGAATTGAACTCCTAAACTCTGGCTCCACGGCCAGATACTTAAACCATTGATTCAGCCAGCACACATTCCTAATAGTCCTATTATTCCTATTAAATTATATAATATATTAATCTTATCATTATTTTCTTGTTTTATGACTGGTGTGTTAATAATATAGAGCCTCGTGGCGCAGTGGTTAAAACGCTGTACTGCAGCTAAAACTGTGCTCACGACCTGGGGTTCAAATCCCAGGTAGCCGGCTCAAGGTTGACTCAGCCTTCCATCCTTCCGAGGTCGGTAAAATGAGTACCCAGCTCGCTGGGGGGGCAATGTGTAGCCTGTATAATTAAAATTGTAAACCGCCCGGAGAGTGCTATATAAGTCCAATAAATAAATAAGTAAATGAATACTTTTACAACTGACCTGTTCACTAATAATGTGTGAAAGATAAGACTTGACCCACCATGATCAGAGCTGTAAAACATTATTTTTCTGGATAACAACTCCCTGAATCATCCAGTTAACTTTGTAACATTTCCAAGCTCTGATCATGGCCATGAGTCTTTCCTTGCCCCTTTAGCTAGTTAGTGAAGTTATTTATAAAGGCTTTCAATGCTGGTTAGCTGTTTGCCTGATTAGTACTTCTATGGACACCGCTGATTCTCCTGATTTTGTGTGTGTGTGTGTGTGTGTGACACTGTTAATTTACTTATCCTTTTGTTTGTTATATTTTGCTGAATCTTATTTTATTTATATTAATTTTTCATGCTGCTTTGTCTGCCCTTTGGGGTGGAAAATCAGCTTTAAAATATTAATGTAAATGAATAATTTTACTGCTTATCAATTATAATATACAATCTAGGAACAGAGTGGTGCAATATTGAGACAAATGCTTTAAAATTCCATGTATTTTAATATTCTTCAGCAGTTTGCTATAGATTATATTTAAAGAGTGCATAGGTCTGCAGAGACAGAGATTCTTGGGTTTGTTTTCATTACCCTTTTTTTATCTAGAAAACTATTCCTCTTAAAGAAGAAATTAACTAAAAAGACAGGAACATAGTTTTAGGACCTTGTGGTTTTTTGTAAATTTGTTTCTTGCAACTTTTAAGAAACCTACAGAGCCAATTCAGTCTATCACAATACAGTACTATATATATTTAACAACATTGAATTTGCTCATAGGTGAAACTCCCCACTCAGGAGAGAGTAAGGATGCAGTGGGGGAATTGGACCAGCCTCATAGTTTACTGTTTTTAAGGTTTCATTATCATGGTAGACAAACACATCATCTCTTTATCTCTAAATTGTCCTTTAAGCAGTTTATATAGTTATCCTGTCTTCAATTTTCAGTGAAGACAGTTAAAGGGATGAATAGATAGTAAAAATACTTTTGTCCTCTTATGTGACTTACTGCAAACAATAACCGTACTCACTGCATCACACTTTAATGATGTCTGAGTAAAAGAATAGTCACATTGCATCTTTTGCTGGGTTTTGATATCTCATCTTTGGCTCAGTGTGAACCAATCACAGCATGTAATGACTTTTATGTAACTTTTGGGGGAGACTTTTTTTTGTCAATACATAGTGGGGGAAAACATCTCCTGGCTACATCCTCAGAATCACGATTTGTACAAAATTTGCATATTTGTTTTTTGAGCCATCAGTGTGACCTGAGATATGTAGTGACATCCCCACTTTTTCATCTTAAGGGTATAGTAAATAGTTAAAGAGTAGATGTCTCTAGCATGTACCTTCAGAATAAATTCTATTAACATTCACTCAAGCATGACAGTCAGTGTATATCAGATATACTGTATTATGGTTGACTTGGTGCATACCCATAATACATGGCATATTTTACTTACTTTTTTTCTACATTAAAGAACTAAAATTATTGAAGTCAGACAAGAGACAAGCACGGAATAAAAAAAACAACAGGGAAAGAGAATGCTATGTGTTTTTTCTGTAATAGCATGAGTAGCTTCCTTGCTAGGTCTGTAAGTGAATTGAATGAAAGAGATATTTGTGCTTCAAATTAGAAATCAGACAGACAGCATACTTCAAGACACAAAATAAGTACACACAACCCATAAACAGTAATAAAAATGCAAATACCCCAAGCAGTTCCCATTTTTCATTAATTGAATCCACTTTTTCAAGTAGCTCTTTGGGTAGTAAAACACCACTTCTCTTCAGTGCTTCAACTTTACTCAGTAATTCCATCTTTTTGGGGTGTCTGATTGACATTTCTACACTGTACCTCTGAAATGGAAAAAGAGAGAGAAGCCTCAGTTACACAATTAACCACAGAGACCAAGATGCTTAAAAATGATGGCAATGTCTTATTTTAGTAGTATATACTCATATGGCACTGAAGTGATTTTTAATGTTAGACTCACTAAATGATAGATTTTTGCTGGAGAGAACTACCCAGCCAGTTCCGCGATGCCCTCTAATATATTTAACTTCCCATGTTCAAGGGATACTGAAGAAAGAAAGACAACCCTTCCCTTAAATTGAAGAGAGAAAATGGATGCACCAGGATGATTGGGGTCTCAACATTCCACTACCCTTTGCAACAATTCTTTCTTGGCAAAATCAGATTTCCCCATTTCTCCAACAAACATTCCAATTTGTATTTCTTTGTATCCAAAGAGAAAATTGAGGTGCTTTTCAGGATTTAGGCTGTCCATTCAGAAGAGGAGGAAGGGCAGAGCAGCCCAAAGTGCTGCCTTTAAGTGGGCAGCCGCCACATGAGGGTAAGGAGGGAAGCATATGCTGTGATCAGTGTGTGGGCAATTGCACTGAGGAGGCAGGAGAGGGAAACATGCTTTAGCCTGGGAATGGGTGAGTGGACAGAGGCAGGAGAAGGCAGTGCACAGCACCTGTGGAACATTTATGAGGGCACAGAGCCAAATTGCCAAACTGTAGTTCATGCCCATCTCTACAAACCAAATAAAAACTTGTAAATGTGCACCCTTAGAAATGAGCAATTGAGAACATTAATGCTGCAACTAGAAACAGAATAAAACAAAACTTTGAAGGCCATGATGGCATAAGAAACAAACAGACAATCAGGAACCAAAGGCTTCCTTAATGAAAGTATTTATCATGTGATAGAAAATCAATAAAGAGGAGGCAAGATTTGATTTTCTTGTGCAGGAGTTCAGGGACAACTGCCACAGAAGTCCTTCCATTCTGGTCCCAGTGTCATCCCTGCAGGGATTCTCAGCAGAAAAGTACAGTGTAGCCTCATGGGATCCCCAGGTCCTAAAAGCTAGTCAGTCAGGGCCTAGGAAGGAAATAGGTTCTGCCTCCTCTACAGTACTCTCTACAATGAGTTCTTACATTGTTGTTGTTGTTTAGTCGTTTAGTTATATCCGACTCTTCGTGACCCCATGGACCAGAGCACGCCAGGCCCTCCTGTCTTCCACTTCCTCCTGGAGTTGGGTCAAATTCATGTTCGTAGCTTCAATGACACTGTCCAGCCATCTTGTCCTCTGTTGTCCCCTTCTCCTCTTGCCTTCACACTTTCCCAACATCAGGGTCTTTTCCAGGAAGTCTTCTCTTCTCATGAGATGGCCAAAGTATTGGAGCCTCAGCTTCAGGATCTGTCCTTCCAGTGAGCACTCAGGGTTGATTTCCTCTAGAATGGATAGATTTGTTCTTGTTGCAGTCCAGGGGACTCTCAAGAGCCTCCTCCAGCACCACAATTCAAAAGCATAAATTCTTTGGCATTCAGCTTTCTTAATGGTCCAGCTCTCACTTCCGTATATCACTACAGGAAAAGCCATAGCTTTGACTATTCGGACTTTTGTTGGCAAGGTGATGTCTCTGCTTTTTAAGATGCTGTCTAGGTTTGTCATTGCTTTCCTCCCAAAAAGCAGGTGTCTTTTAATTTCGTGGCTGCTGTCAACATCTGCAGTTATTATGGAGCCCAGGAAAATAAAATCTTTCACGGCCTCCATATCTTCCCCTTCTATTTGCCAGGAGGTGATGGGACCAGTGGCCATGATCTTAGTTTTTTTGATATTGAGCTTAAGGCCATTATTTACGCGCTCCTCTTTCACCCTCATTACGAGATTATTCAGTTCCTCCTCACTTTCTGCCATCGGAGTGGTATCATCTGCATATCAAAGGTTGTTGATATTTCTTCCAGCAATCTTGATTCTGGCTTGGGATTCCTCCAGGCCAGCCTTTCGCATGATGTATTCTGCATATAAGTTAAATAAGCTGGGGGACAATATACAGCCTTGTCATACTCCTTTCCCAATTTTGAACCAATCAGTTCAAACATGTTCTTAACATGGAAGAGGCTAAATATATGCATTCAGGGACATCCACACAGTCAAGAGTCGGGAGCTGGTTATTCTATGGCATCTTTCCTCAACCTGGTGTCTTATAGATGTGTTGGATTAAAACTGTTCATTTTAGCTGAAGATAATGGTAATTGCTGTGCAAGCAGCTGGAAATCTTCAGGTTGGGGACCACCATTCTATGTATGTGTTCTGCAGGTTTTGCTGATTGCCAGAACTCTTGCTAACCCTAGCCACTTAATGTTGTCCCATAGAACTTCATCTGGCTAGATGAAGGCCTTTGGCCCTGTTCACATACCTTCACACACATAATTTCTTGTTTTTGTTTAATATTTTTGAAAGGGTGAAGAGAAGAAAGAGTGCCAAGAATGTACATTTTCTTTGGATCCTAGTATGTAGAACAATTATCCAAAGAGCATTTAAAAGCTCTGTATAAATCATGCGCAGCTATTAGCAAATTGAATGCAAAACATTCTGTTTTCTTTCCTTCAAACTCAGAGAAGAAAGCTACTCCTGCTGGATTTTTTTTCAAAAAAATTGAAGCTCAGAATAACAAACTCAAACCGAAGAATCTTTAAAACATGGGCGCTCTTGCCACATCCATGAACACGTACGTTGACAAACAAACAAAAATACAATTGGAGACTACTTAACAGAAAACAAGAAAGGTGTGAAATCGCTGTTTCAGCTAATAGATCCTCAGTATTTGCATGAATATGTTTGCATATTGTTAGTTTCATATTTTAATCTTTCATTTGCACTGCTCATGAACATCATTTATATTTTGCCAACTTCAAATATTAGTCATTTGTGGATCACAGAGCAAAATGTTTTAAATGAGGTGATTTAAAGCATTTCTCATTATTAATGAACACTGATCAGGTGTTGGTGTATCCAAAATAAGCATGAATATGCATAACAGGCAACCAAGGGATTGTCTAGATTTATAACAGGAACTTGTCTTTTTTGATATGTGAAAAGAAACCAGGAGCCGTAGTTTCTAAAAATTTGCATTAACAAGAGGCAATCAGGTTGGGAATTACAGGACTGGATCACACAGCAGATAACCATCTTCCTTGGCTAAAATTGCCAACAAGTATGCTTGTTGGCTCTATATGATTGCCTTTTCAGCTGGAAAGGGTGACTAGGGGAGATTACAATCTGCTTTATGTAATCTGATTTCTATTTAAAGATGATATAGCTGAAAAAGATTTACATAATTATTTCCATAACTATGCATAATATTAGGAGAAATCTAAGTCCATTTCAACTACACTCTGAAATCCACTAGGTTTTACTTCTTTGTGGTCTTGTTCTTATCCTTCTTTTTTTTCTTTTGCCAAGTAGATTAATAGATTAAGGGAATCCTCTAGCGGTCTGACACAGTTGTGGATTTGGGATGTTCATATTTTTTACCTGTGACAGGTTGGGTTCAGCTGCTCTTGGCTGCATAGGATTTTGGCGACGTTGTTGAGTTGGGAAGATCAATAACTAAACAAAATGGGTAGCATATGTTTCCTAACCATAATGTTGTAGTTATCATAAAGACTTAATACGCATCATTTCGTTTTTGTGTTTAAGAAAGTGGTTCTGCTATATAGCATAGTATAAAGGGGTCCTGTGACAGATGCTGTAAAAGATGATTACATTTTTAAAAAAGGTAGGCTTTCTATATGCTTTTCTGTCTTCCACATTGTGAAACCTACTGTATAAATTACAAGGCAAAAGATGGTGATGGATACACAATGCATTATACACAATGGCAGGTAACTCTGCCCACTCCACCTTTAATTGCAAGAAATATTGGTTGTGGAAAGAACAAGAAGCGTGGTTCTAAGGAACAGAAATTAAACAGAAGTTATTTATATCAATGTGGCAGAAACACCTACTGCATTGCTGAACTACAGTTCTGATGGCCCCACATGGTATTGCTAATGGGTTTTTTAAGCACCATCAGACACCTTCACTCTAAGGTGAAATTAGCTACCCAGTTCTATCAGTGCTGCACAACCTTTGTCTAGTAGAGCTTCTTTATCCTGTGGCGAGAAGATAATTTAATCTTCATATTCATTCTATCCTTAGCATTAAGTGAGCAAACACTGCTCCATTGTGACAGACTGCACATGTTATGATATAGATTACTGTTCAATAGCCAAAAATGAGACTACATTTTTGAAAAGTCACAGGATTTCCCTTTCCTTTCTCCCCTTTCCTCTGACTCATAGTGGCTGCAATAAATAAAACAATTAATATTTAACTGTTTGTTGCACCTGTGTGGGGGGGAAATCCTTGATAGGAAAAATCCTATCCTAGCTACATGTACCTAGGAACAAATAATGCTTTATTTTGAATCTACTAAAGAAAAAAACACAGCAATATGCTTTATGCTTAGGAATTTTGAGTCTTTCCTCCCCTTTCCCCCTCCTCCATCCCCTTCCCAATTTAGTAAAACATGTCTAGTTCATTCATAATTTTTTAAAGTTTAAGGAAAACTCTATTTGTTGCAACATAAGCAAGAATTTTGAAAAGATTAGCTGGAAAAACTTGTGATTAATGTTTCCTGAACTTTTCTTCTTTTATTTTTTGTGTGTGTGTGTGTGTGTGTGTGTGTGTGTGTGTGTGTGTGTGTGTGTGTGTGTGTGTGTGTGTGTGTGTGTAAAATCACACCCCAAAATTCTGTCCAAATAGAGACTGGAACAATGCCTTGAAACAGCATTAATTGTCACCATGGAAACCAGAAGAATAAGCCATTTTGAAAGTGGCCTAGAAGGCGCTCATTGAGCTACTAAAGCATCCCCCCCCCCCAGTTCACAGTTAAGGAACAAGATGCCTAGTCACTGAGAGGTCAAAGAAAGAAATCATCATGAAAGGTTTGTAGATGTCAACTGTGTGGTAAACAACAACAATAACAACAAGTAACAACAATGACAATAAAACAACAGTATC